GCGTATTTGAATTAGCCTCTGCCGTAATCCACGCTGCGTTCATGGGGTGTGCGCTAAGTAACTCGTCCAAATGCTAAGATTAGTCGCCATATGCTGACTTTGTAAGACCCTAGCGCCATTGTCGCGCACTTTTGAGCCGCGTTAACGGCACATTTGTGCTACTCGTGGGCTACTCCATCCCACCCATTGAGAAAATTCTTCGAGCACGACTTCTGCTGGAGGTGTTGCTTTAATCGTGAGTTGTCTGGGCAAGGAGGGCAAATGAAAAACTGCACCGCGCTGCAGCGTGCCACTTCCCCCCCCTCCTCCTACTATACTAGTACTATTGGTAACCGCAGATCGTTAATGGGCTCACCTTGTGAAAGCATTCCACTCTCGCTGACGACGGGTTCCAGTTCTTGAATTCTGCGTGATCGGAGAGTTTCGGCAGTGTGAGCAGTGCGCAAAGGTGGCGATAATCTTCAGGCGTTGGGCAGATATGTTCGAGATCTTTAAGGCATTCGACCAATTCCTAAACAACCATTTTTTGCAACAATATTATCCTCTTCCTAAATAAAATATTTTTGAATTTTTTGATTGTTAGATCGATTTTCAAAGAGAGCAAAAATGGTTTCTGGAGCACTAAAAGAATGAAAAGATCACGAGAAGATTCGGCACATAAGTGCAGAAAGAAGTGACACCATGCCCGTAGGAATTGCGGGCTATCTACACAGCTCGAAGGATGGAGTCTTGCCCAGCCCGAAAGGGCGCCATCGCAAGATGGGGGGGGGGGCATTCTAGTGGTAACGCATTAAGAACCACGCGAAACATGTCCTTTGTCGAAAACGGGACGAAACCTTAGGCGGGGAGGATGAAACCAGGTGTGTGACTAGCCCTCATTTTCCTCGAAGTTTCTGTCCCCTCCTTGCCTTAGGCCTACGAGATACCCCCGTATCTTGCGATAGCGCTTTAAAAAAATTGTAACACAAATAATCTCTGAACACACGCAAGAAAAACGCTCTCATAAGAAAGGAATAAGGAGAATTAACATGGAATCAAGAGAGAATGACCCGAAGAAGCTCCCGAAATCTACGAGTCCCCCTGTCATCAGGAGACTCATGACCACTGCTCAATCTGAGCAATACAAGACAATAAATCTCTCCTATAAAGGTCATGTCCACATCTAATAAATCTTGACTACGACATAGTAATCGGAAGCTACCGTACCTCGACGGCGAAATCGTTGTCGTGCAGCGGTCCCGGCTCCAATTTCACGCATAACAATTCAAAGAATTTGTACTTTGTTATCGTATACCTGCAACGCAAAGTACTTGCATCAAGTACATCTTGACAAGAGTCAGACTGTATACCTGAATTGCCTGAAATCGAAGTCCTGTACAGATTTTAGCGGTTCGACAAAATCGAGAGCGTTGTCCCATTGGCCGTCAAGAATCAGCTGTCGCAGAAAAAGCAGATCATCAGAGTATTTGCCGTTGATCACACCGGTTTCACGCTCCAGCGAAAGCTTAAAAATTATTGCTGCGAAATCATTCTTGTAAAACAGAATACTGTAAAATTAGTCATTCAGTATAATCTTCACCCTTATGAAAATATGTTATCTGAAAGTCGAAGAAAGTATTGAAATTAAAAGCCACTGATAAACTCGGCCTGAATTGTTTTCGTGCTTGGACTCGTGTCCTACGATTCCGAACTTCAAATAATTGAAGGCACAATTGAGGCAGAAGCCCTGTGAGCGATTCCCTTTTCCTGTAGATAGAGCCCGAGAGGACAATCACAGTGTGGCATCCCGTGCATGGAAATCACCCGACAAGAGCGCTAGGGCCTTGCAAAGTAAGCTGCAGCAGCTGCAATGTTTCATCAGGCTGTTGTCTGGCGCCCTCTCATCTGTTGCGCTCTCTCGCCTCATACTCTCCTCTCCGCGCTTAGTCTCTCATTGCCTTAGCACAGCCGATTAAAAGGTGAGCAAGCCCTTAACCTGAGCGTTTTTAACGTTTCTTTTTTTCCTTTCCTGCCGGCCCATTTTGCGCAAAACTTCATAATTATTTGCAAAAACCACTCCAGTTTTTTTAGAAAAATTACTTTGAATGGTTGTCAGAAACATATCAAGCGCCACCATTCACGTTCGTTGCACAGTCTCAAAGAACGAAGCGCTGCAGCTCCACCGCCACCCTATTTGGGCAGTGTGCGACCACACTAACAAGGCACCTTTACACCTCAAGGGCACAATACAGGCAGAAGTTGGGTGGTCGATACCGTTCGGCGAGCGAAGGTTTTGCAAAGACAGCTTCAACAACTTAAAATTCCCCCTTCAAAATCAGGCCGTTGCTGGTGCTCCCTAATCTGTTGCGCTCTCTTAGCTCGTACTACCCTCTTCGCGCCAAGTCTTTCATTGCCTTAGCACAGGAGCTCCATTTTCTCAAGTCGGAACAAAGCTGGTTCGTTCCTGGGGCATGCCTTTACCTCATCTTTCAATAGAATATCTACCACAGCTTAGTAATTATAAAAACTCT